AAAGAAGAAAAGAACAAAAACAGGCAATAATGAAATGTCTGAATATTCAGAAGCTACTGAAATAGTAGAACTGAATGAGTAGGCCCCATCTAATTAGGATGTAGCTTGATTATTTAGATGATTACAAAATTATCTAGATATAACCAATTGGCGAGGTTAGTTGATTTCTAAAAATGATATCATTAGTCAAAATTATAGGCAAAATTATTAGGCATAGAAAATTCGAGAAAAGACAAAAATAGACAATAACCAAAAATAAGAAGAGTTCGAGAAAGGACAGAAATAACAGACAGTGACCAGAAGTAAGAGACAAACGAAACTTATGACCAGTAGTCGAAAATAGACAGTTAGACAGTACAACGAATCCAGGAATAAAACTGAACGCAAGGACTGGAACTTCTATCAACAAATGTCAAGTATTAAGAGTGTGTTAGTGAATTGAAGTATTTTGAATAGAATGATTGAAGTGAATTGAATAACAAGTGTGCAAGTAGCCAGATGTATTAGAAGGATAAGTGTGTGAGTGAAGTGACTGTATAAGCCTTCACAGGGACAATTAATAACATTGTGCTTATTGTAATCATAGGAAACAAGGACAAAGAGCAGCAATAGTAGAAGTGGAAGGTTTCAGAATTAATGGCAGATACACCATCAAAGAGTTGGCGGTTAAAGACTGTCAATTGGGGGTGGACCGACGTCTATTGCTTCAGGCCTCCAGATTCCGAGGATCGCTTGAGTGACACCGATAAGAGACGCATCTTGTGCACTGTGTACCTGCATGGCCTCCGTTGGACTGATGGAGATTATTCCATGCTAGAATTCCTCCAGATTCGCCAAGGGGGAGGCAGGACTTTGTGAAGCTGTACACCAAGGGCAGAGAGAAGGCACAGATGTTACAAAGACAGCTAGGCCTCCCCTGCCAGGATGTGAAAGAGCATGGATGCCCACCGTACAGACATCTAGATTGCAGCAAGCAGATAACCTGCAATTACCATCGACACCCCATGAACATTGTGCCTATTGGAAAGTATGTGCATTATATCAATGGATACCTAACCGCAACGAGAACGTGTTCCAAAATTTTAGGAACGATTTTTAAGTTGACTGTTAGATACCATATTGCTTTATTTTATGTTTAAAGGTTTTATATGCTTTACCCATATATGCTTTTATAAATATAATCATTTATATAATCTTTTGTGTAATCATATATATGAATCTATTATGATATATTTTATATAATCTTTTGTGTAATCAAATATACGAATCTATTAGGATATGTTTTATATAATCATTTATCGATAATCACATATATACATTTTGATGATGTAAGCATTGGCTGATAAAGAGAGATGGAGACAGTGAGTTGGATGATGAATTTTGTTACAAGTAACAAAATTTTTCTAAGAAGGGAGGGATGAAACAACTTGAAATTTTCTAGGAAATTTCATCAATTGCTTCAAGAGTTTTTAAGTGTTTAAAAATACTTAGGAGAAAACTTAAAGGTTTTTAACGAAGTAATTCGAAGATCTCACCAATTACTTCAAGAGCTTTGAGTATTTAAAAGTACTCAGAGTAAGTGTTTAAGGGTTTTAACGAAGTTATTTAAAGATTTCATCAATTGTTTCAATAGCTGTAGATATTTAAAAATACTTAGAATAAAAGCTTAAGAGTTTCAATACAAGCAAGCAAGTAAAGATAGATATAAAAAGAAAAGGGAGGCGACAATGGGATGCCTGTGTTATGAAATAAGCCTTGAGAAATTAATAAACAAGAACTTGGTTATACAAGAGGTAACATTAAGAAGTAAGCAGCAAAACATGTGCAGTACTTAAAAATAAGCTTGAGAGGCGAGCCTGGGAATCAGTGACCCAGGGTCAATAGCAGAGTTAGTAAGAACTATTGCATCACAAACAGGATGTGAATGCCAATACATGTGACAGTTTGATGAAGTGTTGGCCTCGCTCTCTTAGCACTATGGAAGTTACAGAAAAGTTTACATTTAGTGAATCATCTTGGCACTTTGAAGCAGTATTAGTTACAGTACATGGGTGTAGCAGCACAAATGAATAGGCAGCCGGCTAACACCACTTATCTATGACCAATAACTTGAGAGTTTTGGTTTAGGTTCTGGATTAGACCAGGAATTGCCCTAAAATATCCAACAGGAGCACAGAACTATTTTGTGGGTGATGCTGTGTCCTATTTGGTGGGATCGCACGAACACTAGGAAAGTAGAGTTTAAAAACCCATGTCAGAGACTGAAAAGTCAGTTCCTCGGACAGCAAAAGCTCTCCACCAGTTCTCTCCAAGAAGAAAATGAAGCTGAAGTTTTCTAATGTGGTTACAGCCTCCAAAACTCCAACTCTACTGTAAGTATCGTCTCTCGCTCTCTTGATCAGCTAGTGTAAGAAGTATTAAGTCTAAATAGTAAAGTTTTATCAGTAATGTTTTGATAACTTGCATGTTAACTCGTCACGACAAATCCTCTAATAAATAAATTTGGTGTAAAGATTAGTTTTAATTGAAACTCCAACAATTAAGCTCACCTGAGCACTAATCTTTACACTTTGTCTAATGTTACAATGTCCAATTTATAAATTGGAAGTTCATCTAAATGTTCAAATACATGTAATATCATCAGAAATTTTCAACCATTTAATATATAAAGGTCCTTCACGCCCAGACAAAATCTACCTATGGTACCATGATCATCATTTCGGCATTATCACTTCAGTGAAAGGTTTTTCCTCGGGGTAAGTTATTACTGTTCAGAATGTGATAAGGCATTTGAGCATTTAAATGAACATCATTGTACTGAATATTGTAATGTTTGTTATAGTAATGAATGCTCTAAAGAATGAATGCTCTCTGTAGAATGTTACAACAGACACAATTCAAAGAATTGTAAACAAACAGTATATTCATATGATAATTTTTATCAGTGTAAAAATTTTGTCATTATTAACAGGAAAAAAAACATAATCCCGAATTTCGTGGAAGTGGCAAAATCATATAATATAATATAAATTGTATGTCTTAAAAATCATTTATGTTTTCCCCAGAATAAATACTTATTTTTTTATTTTGAGACAGATTAGGAAACTGGAATTCACGAGATAAGCTACTGATGGTCCATGATTTTAATGGGAAGGAAACAGTTTTAAAAGGTTATAATTCATGTGACGAATTTTGTCAATTCATATTTTTGAAAGAATTATGCAGCTATAGGACATAATATGAAATGTTTTGACAGGAACTTTATCTTGAATTATTTTATTCTTCAAGGCATAAAAGCCGACATTATCTTAAATGGTAGAAAAATTGTGGTTATGACCGTCAGAAGTCTCAGAATTAGAATAATTGACAGTTACAATTTTATACCTGCCTTTATCATTGTTTCCAAACACATTTGGATTAGAAGAACTACAGAAAGGATATTCCCCTCTTCTTTTCAATATAAAATGAAATCAGGAATATCGAGGACCTATACAGGATTCCAGCTTTTACTTTCCTGAGATCAAGTCAGCAACTGTAAGACAAAAGTTTCTGAATTGGCACTGTCAGTGACGAGAGGAAGAGTAAGACTTTGACTTTCAAGAAGAGATGTACAGGTAAGAAAAAATAGCACTATCAATGTTGATTCTTATTTATGTTTGTTGTTCTCTTGAAAATTTTGTTGAAAGTTATATTTATCATTTTTTTATTTTTATCTTTAGATACTGCCGATCAGATGTGAATATACTTCGACAGTGCTGTCTTCAATTCATGGAAGAGTTTCTCATAACCTGCGATATAGATCCCTTCAGGTACATGACCATTGCTTCTGTATGCATGGCTGTATTATTACGACTGTTAGAGACATATTTGATGGTAAAAAATTAGAAAAAGGAAGTAATGTCTAATAACACCGCGCAATCTTTATATTAAAACCCTACACATCATGCTAGGTTTGGCAGAGTACAACCTTTATTTAGATGTATAAAAGTGCTAGGTAAATCTGTAACTATAAATCAGGTTAAAGACTGTGTCAGAACTTTTAAATGCGTGTATATATGGGTATGAGCTAAGGATTCTTCTACAGTAGGTGTCTGTGAATTGTTGGCGATAAATTCGAACAATAAAGTGACAGCAAGTACTCAACTTGTTATAACATAATATATTAAAACAAGTTAAACATATGTACAAAATGCTCTTTACACTATGAAGATCACAGCTGTATCTTAACCACTATACAGTTCTCTTCTTGTTGTCAAAAGTCCAGTTAGGCTAATTCAACTGCTTTAAAATCCGGTTGACAAGCCAAACTATTTTTCTCTACTTGTATCACAATAGTATCAGTAAATAATTCGCTTATGCTGCCTCATGAGTTACCACAGTTGTATCCTGATCTTCCAATGATTGTCTTCTTTTTGTCAAAGTCCACACAAGCGGGTTCAATTAGTTTAGAACATCCTTTGACAAGACAAATTATTCTCCTTATCTCTATCAAATTGTTAATTTCACTTTAAAATATCAACCACTGAGGCTATTCACTCGAACAATGGCCAACTTCGTGTTTTCTAGCTTTTCTCTAACTGAACTTCTCTTTCACTCGACTTCCACTTGTTTGGTTGTCGCTATTTATATGTTTATGACTGAGACAACCAGAAATTTCTATAGCCTCGACACTAATGAATTGCAAACACAATGTATAACTCCAACCAAACTTGTCATAACTATCATCTTTATATTAATTGCTTTTAACTCTCTCATTATGAAAAAAAAATTAACAATTGAATAATATTACCTATAATAAACATTCTTGTATATCCAACAGACAGCTTAACCCGATGACTACCG